GAGGAGTGTCTGATGTGCGTGAGGAGTGCACGAGGAGTGTCTGATGTGCGTGAGGAGTGCATGAGGAGTGTCTGATGTGCGTGAGGAGTGCATGAGGAGTGTCTGATGTGCGTGAGGAGTGTATCGTGCATGAGGAGTGTCTGATGTGCGTGAGGAGTGTCTGATGTGCGTGAGGAGTGTCTGATGTGTGTGAGGAGTGTGTGAGCTTGTGTGTGATCTGTGCTCTGCTATTCAGACTACAGTAGGTGGGCTGGATGGTAGTAGAGCCTGTTCTCCAGAGCAGCAGTGTGCATGCATCACCACGCACCACCCACACACCCCTCAAGTGCCCCAGGAAACATGACCACCTCCTGGTTTGCGATTGTCTCCTTCCATTAGGTCTAATGGCCAAAGTGCCCCCCTGAGGATGCCTGACATAATGTGGGCTGAGAACCGCAGGCCATCAGCAGGCGTGAGTCACCGCGGGTCGTCAGCGAGCAGAACTCCTGACCGCCGAAGTGGCCGCTCACTATACCCAGGGATCGATTGTTTTACGTGCGGAACGGTGTGTTCCGGCCCTGCCGCTTAGCACAAGGCGGGCCTGAGGGACGCCGCGTAATTCAGCTCATTGCAGCCGCTTGCTCTTACTCACTCCTTCACCCTGCCCTCCAGCTGGCCTGCAGGAGGAGCGTGTGTGTGTGTGTGTGTGTGTGTGTGTGTGTGTGTGTGTGTGTACGGAGAGATCCTGCTGTCTCTGAGGTTATTGAAGGGAACACGTACTCCTGTTGTACACATACTAGTGATTTTTCTTGTAAAATATACTCTATATTGACAATGTTATTGGGACACATCTCTTTATCACTGAATTCAGGTGTTTCATTCAGACCCATTGCCACAGGTGCAGAATCAAGCACCAAGCCATGCAGTCAATGTCTGGCTCTAAAGAGCTTGGTGAATTCAAGGGTGGTGCTGTCATAGGATCCCACCATTGCAATATGAAAGTTTGTGAAATTTCTTCCCTGCTAGATATTCCACGGTCAACTGTAAGTGGTAGTATTGCAAAGTGGAAGCATGTAGGATCAACAGAATCTCAGCCATGAAGTGACAGACCATGTAAAGTAACAGAGCGGGGGGGGGTCGCCAAGTGTTGACTCAGTAACTGCAGAGTTCCAGACTTCCTCTGGCATTAACCCCAGCACAGAAACTGTGCCCTGTGGGCTTCATGGAATGGGCTTCCATGGCCGAGCAGCTGCACGCAAGCCTCACATCGCCAAGTGTAATGCCAAGCATCGGATGGAGTGGTGTAAAGCACACTGCCACTGGACTCTGGAGCAGTGGAAACGTGTTCTGCGGAGTGAGGAATCACGCTTATCTGTCTGGCAGTCTACGAGTGCGGGTTTGAGGAGAATGCCATCAAACACCTTTGGGATGAACTAGAGTGGAGATTGAGAGCCAGTCCTTCACGTCCAACGTCAATGCCTGACCTCACACTTGCTCATAGACAGACACACCCCACAGTCCTATAGAAAGCCTTCTCAGAAGAGTGGCAGCTGTTACAGCTGCAAAGGGGGACAAACTCTACATTGATGCCTATGGATTTAGAGTGTGATGTCATAAAAGTTCCTGTAGGTGTAACGGCCAGGTGTCCCAGTACTTTTGTCCTTGTAGCGTTTGATGTATTGATGAATTCTGTAAGTATCCTGTGCAGTGATGGCCTGCTTCTTGTTTCCAGTCGGACTGAACTCGGTGCCGTGGTAACGGCCTCTCTCCCCTCTTCCTGCAGATGACAACAGACTCAGCAGGCTGAGCTTCCAGGATGCCGGGGCTAAGACGGAGCATGACGGGGCCTCCTTGGGCTCCCGGGACGCCACAGAGGGGCTCAAGCCAAGACCATGCGATGCCTCTGCAGATTCTGAGGGTAGCCCGGCCCCTGGCTTCGACACACAGGCCGCCGACGGCAGCCCGGATATGGAGATGGCGCTGGACAACCAGGACTGCGATGACAATAATGCTGCCACAGACAGCTCCACCTGGAGCCCTGAGGTACTGCGGTTGTGCGGGGGCTCAAGCTAAAGTGATCTACATGATGTGGGTGCTGGGCCAGTGTCCTCTGCCTTAAAGTACCCAAGTCACATGAATATTAATGCGATTAAGGGGAAAATACAAATATGTAAACACTGCTGCTGGTCTGAGAGTGTTGTGGAGAGTGTCTAGTGGTTGCTGTCCATGCTAATGTGCCACGGTCAGTTGTCAGCACACTTGGAATGAGCGAGGGGCGTGGGCAGGAGGGGGCGGAGGCCGGCTGGGTGCTGGCAAGGACAGCTCTGGGGAACACGGTACAGTCTGGGGTCTGTTCTCACCACAGCCTGTGTGTGTGCGTGCGTGTGAGTGTCTGTGGAGCATCCCACGCGTGTGAACATATGACCTGGCTCTCCTGCCAAAACACTGACATACTGACTGAATCAAAAGGGGGACTGCAGAGCACTGACTGCGTAATGCAGGGATCTGCACAACACTAGGAATGCTAGAAAGTGTGTATCCTCCCCAGGAGCAGACCGGGGGGGAGGGGCCGGCCGGGACCCCGCCTCCCAGCAGCCACCAGCCCATCTCCAAGTGTGGCGACCTCATCGTCATCCTGGAGTACAAGGCGTTGCCGCGGAGGCTGCTGGTCACCGTGGTGACGGCGCGGGACATCCCAGACAAGGAGCGTAGCGGCGTCGACTCCTGGCAGGTGCACGCCGTGCTGCTGCCGTCTAAGAAGCAGCGGCACAAAACGGGCGTGCAGCGGGGGCCGACGCCCCTCTTCGGGGAGACCTTCCGCTTCTCGCAGCTGGAGCCGGCCGAGCTGCGCAGTTGCGCCCTGCGCTTCCGCCTCTACGCAGCGGGGAGGATGGTGCGCGAGCGCATGATGGGCGAGACGCTGTTCTACTTGAAGGACTTGACCCTGGAGGCCGAGATGGAGGCCTGCTTAATGCTGGCACCCCGGAGCAACATGAAGGTGAGCCAGCAGCTGCAGACAGCGTATCTGTGCAGCTGCAGCTGCAGACACGGGGGGCTGTGAAGTACAGACAGTGCCACACATGGCGAGCCGTGGTACTGCATGTATCACAGCCAGGTACACTATATGGACAAAAGTACTGGAACAACTGGCCATTACACCCACAGGAACCTTTATGACATTCCATTCTGAATCCACAGGCATTAATATATGTTGGTCCACTCCTTCACAGCTATAACATCTGCCACTCTTCTGGGAAGGCTTCCCACAAGATTTTGGAGTCTGTCTGTGGGAATTTTTGCCCATTCATCCAGAAGAGCATTTGTGAGGTCAGGCACTGATGTTGGATGTGAAGGCCTGCCTCGCAATCTCCACTCTAGTTCCTCCCAAAGGTGTTTGATGGGGTTGAGGTCAGGGCTCTGTGTGGACCAGTGAAGTTTTTCCACACCAAGCTCACCCAATCGTTATAGACCTTGCTTTGTGCACTGGGGCACAGTCGTGCTGGGATAGAAAAGGGCCGCCTTCCCCAAAATGTTCCCACCAAGTTCAAAGCATAGAATTGTCCAAAATATCTTGGCATGCTGAAGCATTAAGAGTCCCCTTCACTGGAACTAAGGGGCCAATCAAACCCCAGATAAACAACCCCATACCATTATCCCTCCTCCACCAAACTTAACAGTCGGCACAATGCAGTCAGGCAGGTAACGTTCTCCTAGCATCTGCCAAACCCAGACTCATCCATCAGACTGCCAGAAAGATAAGCGTGATTCCTCACTCCACAGAACACGTTTCCACTGCTCCAGAGTCCAGTGGCAGTGTGCTTTACACCACTCCATCCGATGCATGGCATTACACTTGGCGATGTGAGGCTTGCGTGCAGCTGCTCGGCCATGGAAGCCCATTCCATGAAGCCCACAGGGCACAGTTTCTGTGCTGGGGTTAATGCCAGAGGAAGTCTGGAACTCTGCAGTTACTGAGTCAACGGAGTGTTGGCGACTTTTATGCACTATGTGCCTCAACACTTGGCGACCCCCCCCCGCTCTGTTACTTTACATGGTCTGTCACTTCATGGCTGAGATTCTGTTGATCCTACATGCTTCCACTTTGGAATAATACCACTTGGTGGAATATCTAGCAGGGAAGAAATTTCACAAACTTTCATATTGCAATGGTGGGATCCTATGACAGCACCACCCTTGAATTCACCAAGCTCTTTAGAGCCAGACATTGACTCCATGGCTTGGTGCTTGATTCTGCACCTGTGGCAATGGGTCTGAATGAAACACCTGAATTCAGTGATAAAGAGATGTGTCCCAATAACATTGTCAATATAGAGTATATTTTACAAGAAAAATCACTAGTATGTGTACAACAGGAGTACGTGTTCCCTTCAATAACCTCAGAGACAGCAGGATCTCTC